ATATATATCCTTCGAAACAAACTTAAACACAAGGGTATATATTGACTCTTATAAAACACATACAACATATATAATTAAGATATTCTCACGCCCCCAAGACACTCTTATCGTACACCAAACTAACGTATCTATTTCTCTTTTTTTTAGAATTGCTGTCACCTGTGCCGAGCTTCGGTGAGTAACTCCAGTCATGTTTAAATCTATAAATAACACTTAGCTGGATAAGAACAGGAGGTCCGGGATATTATTTACCGGTCTTACAGTAATTGGTAAAACCAGAGTTGTATTGCCTGAGAACATGAGTTGGAACAAGCCCTTAGCGGCACAGACAGGCCGGGCTCCTCTCATATCCCGGACTGTGTAAATAGTATGTGTGTGCTTATGCAAATACCAGTCACGCTGCTCCATAATTTGATACACTATATTGCTGGTAGCCAAACTGCGCAACTGGCGTGGACACGTGATGCACTATTTGCAGCCATGCTGTACCCCCAGGCAGCCATGCTGTACCCCAGGCAGCACTGCTGTACCCCAGATAGTACAGTATGCGGTGGGCAGCCCAGGCCTGAGGTAGGCAGCCCAGGCCTGAGGTAGGCAGCCCAGGCCTGAGGTAGGCAGCCTCGTCTTATAATGAGACACATGCGTCTTCCTATAATGAGCTCTCGTCTTATCTCGAGATGTGATGCCATAACGAGCAGCACTATATTTAAAATTTTATGTTTGCCATATTAATTTCACTTATTTTAGACCATGTATTATACCCCGCAGCTCGATCCTGCAGCCACAAACAGTAAACACACACACACACACACCTGCAACACTCTCCTCTTTCCTAAATTCTAATTTTCATTTTACACATTGGCAGTAGATGAGCTTCTCCTGTATCTGTTTCTTAGGGGAAAGTGTGTTGTGTCCGGTGACTGTATTCAGAGATGGCGTGTGTGTGTGGGTCCAGAAGATACAGAATCAGTCACACTGTAATTCTGGTCGTGGTTCTGCTCCTGAGAGCTGCAACATCCTCTGTATTCTGAAACGTTGTTGGAATAGTGCTGGGAGATTTAATTTGTAAATGAAGCTTCAATGTGTAAATAGAGATGGAGGATTTAACCTGTAAATGTGAACGAGGCTATTATCCGGAAATAGCGTTAGAATACAGCGGAAACCATTTATCGTAGCAGATAGCTTGAAAGTGTAAACACATTTATATTTATCTAAACAGTAAGAAATACAGCCGTTGGCTGTGTAGACTGAGACAGTAATCTATTCGCTTGTTCCAACAGGTCGTGTAGGCAGTTCTAGGGGCCCGGAGCTGTTCTCGCTTGTTGTTGTTTTAGATTTAGCTACTTAGAACAAAAGGTCCATGTAGCACAGGCTATGGCGAGCCCGTAATAAAAAAAAGCTGTTCTCACATCATATGGTATATATATAACCAGGCGAGGTGTAGGGCGCGCGTCCGGCTCCTCCACTTAATGTTGATCCACCGAGTGATATTCGGCGTCGGGTTTGTGATCTTTCCCGAGGCCGCCGTGGATGCTCTCGGCGGGGAATGTTGGCTTTGCACTCTGAATATTCTCCCAGTTTTCACGGGTCATATTTCCGCACATCACAAGAGGTTTACCTTGACCAGACGATATGGAAGAGAGGTGGGAGAGAGAGTGAGTGGGAGAGAATGGGTGGGAGAGTGGGTGGGTGGGGGAGAGGGAGTAGGTGGGGGCGAGAGAGTGGGTGGGGAGAGAGAAGGATGGTGTCTCACATCAAACAATCTTACCCTAGCCAGATACTAAGGAGGTGATGCAGGGTAGGTCGCTTGACGTGTAGGAAGTCAAGCTTTCACTATTTATGTACGTAGGTTAGATTACCATTTTAAAAGCACTACAATGACCTTCTGTGGTTTGATTGTTCAATAAATCACTGAACTAAATGTTTACCAGATCTCTTACCCTGTCCATGGAGAACAAAACAAAAATGTATATATATATATGTGCTGGTTAGCATTGTAAATGTTTAACTATGTTTGTGGTAGAAAGTATTCACAATGAGAAAATCCACCAGGGCTGTGAGGTGGGCGCGAACCTACGCCTTTGCAATTGCCAGTCGCGTACTCTACCTGTAGACCACTGCTGTTTTGTAAATGACACATACCTGAATATCTACTGAAATCACATTAAGTCTGGAGGCCCTTACTGAAGCCAGTCCAAGTTTTTACGAAATTTGGACTTACGAAACATTTTACGAAACGAAACTTCGTCAAAACTTGAACCTATTTTCATGTGGATTTTCTCCTTGATATACAACACGTTACTGTGATTTCTGTGTTTAAGAATAATAATAATAACTGCCTCAAACTTGCTCCTCCAAGCCTGGCTGTAACTGATGACTTTCTGGACATCTTGTTGAGAATGATAAGTTCGAGACGGTGACCATGCACCTGGTTGGCGGCGCCAGTCGGGAGATGTGGACCTAACACCCCGAGGACGGACTGGCTTCCTCCTGACTGGTGCCAATCAGGTACAGGAAGCTAGTCTTCGCTCTCAGTATTTTTTGTCCCTTCAATAAATTTTGCTTTAAATTTAGAGCCTCTCCGTCAATTTAGCGACTTCAGAACAAATCTTCACAACCTCCAACACTTACTAGATTTAATTTAACGATTATACACAGAGCGCAGAGCACGCACGCACACGCACACACACACACACACACACACACACACACACACACACACACACACACACACACACACACACTCTCTCTCTCTCTCTCTCTCTCTCTCTCTCTCTCTCTCTCTCTCTCTCTCTCTCTCTCTCTCTCTCTCTCACACATGAAAGTCGTACAAACTTTCGCAAACAGATGAAACTACGAGACAAATGAGCCTCAAACACCTTAATTGACTGGTTGACAGGCAGTCAATTAAGATACCAGAAGGTGCAACTGGTGCCTTAATTGACTGTTGTACCAGAAAGTACAACCCATCAGATTCCTTCGCAATTTTTCAGGGCGTATCTCGGATATTATAATTCCATCCACCCTATAATGCTCGACTCTCACAGAGGAAAACGCTTTTCCCTCTGCATTTTTTTTTCCATCAGACGTCACGCAAAAAAAACATTGGGTATTATTTGTAAACAGTACTAATTGTTTTTCAGGAGATATAGCAGGAAAAATGCGTCATAGTCTCACTGCCAAAAGATTAAAAAAAAAAGACCGAAGATAACATTTTTCAAGGCTTTGTCATGCCCGTTCATAGATAACACAAGAGCTAGTGGGATGCCCTACCAGCTCTACCCTCGCCAGTAGAGCTCCCCGGAGCTCTGTTTTAACACAGAGCCAGGGGGTTCCTCGTTCATCAAGCTCGCTGGTCCAATCATCCAGGATTTAAATTTCGAAGTGAATCTTATGAAATCGAAGATTCCAATTTATTGTTTTATTTTTGTCTTATTCGTGCAAGCTGTGTTCCTGGCTGCAACACTGTTTAATAATGATCAATGTGACTGCAATAATGGATCACCACTAGTCATTTCTTTGTAACCATGAGGCACCTCTATCGTACGTGTTAAGAGCAATAACAATCTCTCACACAATTAGGCTCGTGCTGTCGACGTCTGTCAAAGGTCATCAAGTGAGGCTTATGCAAGAGTCTGTCAGTCACGCCACAACATATATCTATAACAGTACGAACAAACAATTCGATCATACTAACCTAGAAATAAAATATGCTTCACTTACGATATCGTAACTTTCTGACAATTATATTTATCGTAAACGTGGCCCCCAAAGAGGTAATAATGCCTTTAAGAAGCTAAATAGGACACTCAGCTCACACATGAAAATAAAGGTGACGATGTTTCGATCCGTCGTAGACCATTACAAAGTCGTTGTCCAGAAAGAACCGAAACGACGCCACTTTCTTAATTTTTCAGATGTTCTACACGTCCTACACGTGAAACATGATTGTTTCACGTGTAGGACAGACACAGGAATGAGTTTGGGTGGATGTAAATAGCTGCCACGTCTGGGCAATTAGGCCTTCTGCAATTTCCTTAATTCTTATGTTCTCAATTACATGCTCCTAGATACTAGATCTTAATATACTCCTTCGAACTTAATGTAATACTTAATGTAATCCTTCGTATTGCTGAGGCTCGGCCCTTAAATGTAGATATACTATGTTAAGGAGAGAACGACGCAGAGTATAAACATAAGAATGAAAATAACTGCAGAAGGCCACTTGGCCCATACGAGGCAGTTCCTATTTATATTCATAAGCTCCTATTTATATCCGAACAAACACAAGAGTGTCTGTGTAATTTCTCCAAGTGTCAGGATTCGTTATTTTTTTCTGTCGTTCGGCGTCATGGGGAAAATAACCAAGTCACAACCTAACATTCCTGTCACGGGTTATAGCAGGGAAACTTTAGCTTTACTAGCAACAGCAAAAGTTGTGCACCCTGTCTGAGATTCATGGGACGGGTGTTGGAGTCCTGTTCGGTGACAGCGATGTGCTGTAAAATTCATTGTTTATTGCCTGGGTGGGATTGCCATTGTACGCGATTACAGAATTATAGTCGAATTTGTAATATATCCTATGCAACGTATGTGTGTGTATTCACCTAGTTGTATTGACCTAGTTGTGTTTGTGGGGGTTGAGCTCTGCTATTTCGGCCCGCCTCTCAACTGTCAATCAACTGTTACTAAGTACTAACTTTTTTCACACATACACCCTCAGGAAACAGCCCGTAACAGCTGTCAAACTCCCAGTTACCTATTTCCTGTTAAGTAACACGGGCATCAGGGTGAAAGAAACTGCTCATTTGTTTCTGCCTAGTCCAGGAATCGAACCCGGGCCACAAGACTACGAGTTCCGCACGCTGTCCACTCAGCTACCAGACCCCTGTGTGCGTGTGAGTGCGTGTGAGTGCGTGTGATCGTACTCGAATGAAAACTACATGCCAGTACACAAAGACTAAGAGAACTCACTCAGTCTAATGACTAAAAAAAGGAGGATGGGTCATAATCCCAATATACAAAATACTGAAGTGAATAGTAAAAAGTTAAAAGGTCATTTCGAGACTGAAGATGAACATAACGAGGCACAGTTTGACGTTTTAACACAAATGCGTCAACAAAGATATACGGAAATCCTGGTATGCAGAGAAGGCGGAATGAACTTTACTCATAAGAGGCAAAAGCAACCTCTATTCACAACTTTGTAAGTTCGACAAAGTACCTGAACGTCGGGAAGTATAAATGCAACAGCTATAGTAGCTGAGAGGCGAGGCTCTAGAGCTAGATCTCACCCTCTTTAGACACTACTAGATAAATACAACTAAGTACAATGTTAAATATACTCCAACTATTTTCTAAATCAATGTGGGAAATGCCAATTCCCACTGGTGGCCCCACATTGGGTACCTAAACGACACCACTAGGTACCTAAACGACACCACTAGGTACCTAAACGACACCACTAGGTACCCAAACAACAATAGCCACTTGGTACATAAACGACACAACTAGCCCTAGGTATCTACACAACAACCCCAGCAACTGAATTTGATTATCTTAAACCTAACATAAATCTTCATGTCTAAGATTAGTTAAAAAAAAAATGCATCTAAACTACTCCAATATATTCTAGCTTTTTAAGCTAATTCCACCAGATCCCAACCCAAGTTCAACACCATCCTGAGATTAGTTAAATCTGTGTCTTTCTCGTGTGACTGAAAAGCATCTCGTGGCGTTCAACATTTTGTCCTCAAGACCCGTTTTGCAAGCGACAACTGGCGATTGAATTAGCCTCAGCAGCCTTAACTAGGTTTGTAGGTAGCTGTCATATTGGGCGTGTTGTGGGCATCTTGCATATCAACTGGTTTGGGCGATTGGGATTCAGAGGGAGGTCTCGATGAAGGGGTTCATACAGCTACGTGAGGCGGCTCAACAAGCTGGTTCAACAAGCTGGTTCAATAAGCTGGTTCAACAAGCGACACTCTTCCTCGCTTGATCGTGTGAAGTTCACGAGACTACATGCTTGAATGTAACCCTGATTTTGCAGCAGTGCCGCCACGCAACCGTGAAAACTGTCTACAAATCGTCATTGATTTTTCGAACGGCGCGAACACGAAATATAAAAAGAGAATCCTGAACAAAGTAATAATGTGACGCAAAGATTGCGGAGTGAGAGGGAAGTCGTGAGTATTTTGAAATTAAACCCTTCGGTGTTTTATGCATAGTTTAATCTCCATTTTATTTTGACACCTTGCAATGTGTAAAAGACAATAGCTTCCCATTCCCTTGTTATAAACCCTTACCAAGACTTAAGACAGACTTACCAAGACTTACTAAGACTTATCGTGCGCTTGCAGTAGCGATGGCAGGCTGTAGCCAGGTGTGTGTGTGTGTGTGTGTGTGTGTGTGTGTGTGTGTGTGTTTGTGTGTGTGTGTGTGTGTGTGTGTGTGTGTTACAAGCTGTAGCCAGGTGTGTGTTGTAATGTGCCCAGATTTAATGTCCCGACTATTATTATAAATTATCTATTATATATTTCGTGGTGAGAGTCGGTCTGGGGTATCGATTTTAATAGGAAAGTCAAAGACTATAGAAACATCACAGTGACAGGGGCTGGCACGTAACAGTGACAGCGGGTAACAGTAGCTTACAGTCCTGGGCACGTTGGAAGTGAAAAGCAGAACCATTACAGTGTCACACACGTGGATCCTGCTTACTCGTGTCAGACCCTATTGTCTTCCTCAAGACAAGTGTGAACCGTGGGAATAACTAAGTGACTATTATAATTACACCATTTGATAGTTAATGGTCCAAGACGGACCGAAACGTCGTCTTTTCTTCATTTTCTGAGGTGTAGTTTGGTCATTATGCACTCAGCAAGGATGTGACAGTAACAAGAATCTTGTGCAATTCTGGTACAAATTAACCAGGTACTGGATTCTTAAGTGTACCATTTAACAATCGATTTACATCTGCCATAGAAGCAGCATATTAATAATTAAGGTCAGAATAGTACAATAACATCTAGTTATCATAGTGCACTGTTGCTCTGATGGCCCAGTCACGGTAGAAGTTCTACCTGACGAAAGGTAGAGTTATCTACGCTATTACACCTCTAGTTTATTTTAGTTCATTTATTATTGCACCCCATACCCATCCCCGGGGCGGTAGAGGAGAGGGTTACAGAGGCACATAATGGGCTCAGGGCTTGACCCCCCAACATTTCCTATTGCTGTAACACATGTTTGTGTCAAACAGCTGTCGCTCAGAGTGGCCCCACCTGCACGCAGCTGTCCCACACCGTGTCTGTCTGTGTCCCTGCTGTGATTATTTCATTTCAGAGCTACGGTCTTGTATCATGCAGGTCGGCGTTCAATTCCCGACCGTTCAAGTGGTTGGGCACCATTCCTTCCCCCCCCCTCACTCCCCTCCGTCCCATCCCAAATCCTTATCCCTTCCATGTGCTATATAGTCGTGCTGGCTTGGCGCTTTCTCTTGATAGTTTCCTTCCTTCCTGCCCATAATTAAAATTAAATAAGTAGGCAAACTATTTTTTTTTTTAGTTGACAAATGCCCTCTCCATAAATCAGAGTGGAAATTACCTCTGTATTAAACATTATGTTTCATAATTTAAAATACCAAATTAGGAAAACAAAATTCCAACCCATCAGGACAGAGAGCATCCAGGTCGTTTGCATCCAACGTGTTCCTTCAGGACAAACACCAGAGAAAGCTACGGGCTCACCATAGCCCGTGCTACTGGCCCCGCTCCTGTGCCAGGTAAGTTACGGGCTCACCATAGCCCGTGCTACTGGCCCCGCTCCTGTGCCAGGTAAGCTACGGGCTCACCATAGCCCGTGATACTGGCCCCGCTCCTGTGCCAGGTAAGCTACGGGCTCACCATAGCCCGTGCTACTGGCCCCGCTCCTGTGCCAGGTAAGCTACGGGCTCACCATAGCCCGTGCTACTCGGAACTTATGTTTCGAGCAGCTGAATCTCTAAAAACAATAACCACCACCAGAGAAAGGATTTTTTTTTAAGAAACAAAAATTCCTCCTGCAAGTGACGACAGAAACTGTTGAGATGCTGGGATCTGTTAGTAATCAAGTTTGTCACCGAGACGACCCTAAAATTGGGCTTTCATTGCCGCCAGCGCCGCCAAGTGGCCATCAAATGCAGTTTTATTGTCGAGTCCTTTGTGTGGCCAGGTGGTGGCGGGCGGGCGAACGCCTCGACACGGCTGTTGCTCTTGCGCTCTCACAGGTCGTTTCTGATATCTTGAAGGAAGATTCGAGCTCTTCCAGAGCAATATGCTTTTCCCTGTACAATAAAGGCGTTTATTACGACAAAGCGTAATGAACAATTCCAGGAGATATGAACAATTTAAGCTTTACAAAGATACAAATATCCTTCATTGTTCTCTCGTGTCTCTTACACATGAGTGGAATAATGCAAATTTCAAGTTTACTAACAGTCTGATTTTCCTGAGTTAGAATTGACGCGTAAGAATATTTAGCTGAAAAAGTAGGTGACAAGATTCTACCTTGGTGGGTGTCAATTTTGTACTGTGCAAGGAAGCGAGTGATGACCAGAGGAAGCGAGTGATGACCAAAGAAAGCGAGTGATGGTCAGGGGGGTCTTCACTAGTCCCACTCTCTAGCCTGTTTCCAATACATTTATCAACTTTAGAACCTTTTCCTCGAATGTCTCCACACTGTCTAGTGACGTGCTAGTCAGCTCTAAGACGACACCAGCAGCCATCTTCCAGACCCCTGCCCCAGCAGCCGTCTTCCAGACCCCTGCCCCAGCAGCCATCTTCCAGACCCCTGCCCCAGCAGCCATCTTCCAGACCCCTGCCCCAGCAGCCATCTTCCAGACCCCTGCCCCAGCAGCCATCTTCCAGACCCCTGCCCCAGCAGCCATCTTCCAGACCCCTGCCCCAGCAGCCATCTTCCAGACCCCTGCACCAACTTTCCAGGTTGTCCCAACCACATAGCGAAATGGAGTTACAAACTGTGAAGAAAAACCCGCAACAGCAAAGTTTAGTGCGCGTATAATATCAGCAAGTTTCCTTGCATTCTCTTAGATCACCTCAGCTCCAGACGGTGTGGTGCCAGCACAGCCAGGAGCTGCATCCTGTCTGGGGAAAATAATTACCCTCAGACCACTCCAAAATACGGTTGCTACAGTGTAATTACAAGCATGAACTGTTGGTATATTGTGTCGAAAACGACTTAAACAATCGCCAGCTTACGAATCGTCTCTCTAAATAAGAGAGAAACCGCTGCCTTCCAGGTCTCTTGCATATCTGAAATATTCTTCCTCTTATTCTTGAATTTAGGAAATTTTACGAGGTCTTGAGTCTAGAGGACTACACAGGACCCTTATTTCACAGGACTTTTCGTAAAATAAAAATTTCCCAATTATTTTGGGAAATTTTTTAATGGAGGCTGGATGTGTACGCGCGTATATTTATATATATAGATATATAATATATATAGATATATAGATATATTTCTATATAGATATATAGAAATATATTTATATTTCGTGTGTAATTTAACCCTTAGCGATTGACATGAGATAATTATGACTATTAATTAATGTTGAAATTAACAGTTTTCATATGTCTTTCTGTTGTGAATGGCAGTAATGAATGGGTGTGGTGAATGGCAGTGGTGATTGCTTACGATGAACGACTTTGTTAAGTAACTATTAAACGACTATAGCTAACGATAACGAAGCAATCTTTGAGCATCTTGGTGAAATTTCTCACGAAATTGTCAGTTGTCTCCTGGAACTCATGTCGAAATATACGAGAAAATACTGTTCAAAGTTTTTGCACAGTTAGAGGAGCGAGCGAGCGAGAGAGAGAGCGAGAGAGAAAGCGAGAGAGAGAGCGAGAGAGAGAAAGCGAGAGCGAGCGAGAGAGAGAGACTGTAGAGAGTATGAAAAAGCCCACCACACAGCCTATCCTCTACTACGCCAGCTCACTTTAACATATAGCTCTCACAAAAGTAAAGAATAATAGCATCAAGGAACTTTTCTCCGATCCCAAATTCCTTCCCCAAACTTACTTACTTCTATAACAATGTTAAACTTAGTTTTTTTCATTGACTGGTAACTTTTAATTATTTCTGTGTTACTTTTGCCTATTCTCTTTTACATGTTTTAACGCAGTCTGTGAAATAAAAAATAAAAATGCTTGCAAAATACAAGCAGAAGAACCCGGGCTTCGTTTCCCGGGCAAGCATATGGAAGGCGACACAGGGGTGCGCCTCTAACGCCCAAAGTGATATCACGAAGATCCAGATCACAAAAGTCACTGAAATTAAATTGGCAGTGAAGATGGCAGAGGGAAGGGGAGTGCCAGGCTGGGTGGATTGCATGGGGTTGGGGTTGGGGTTGGGGTTGGGGGTTAGGGTTGGGGGTTAGGGTTGGGGGTTAGGGTTGGGGGTTAGGGTTGGGGGTTGGGGTTGGGGGTTGGGGTTGGGGGTTAGGGTTGGGGGTTAGGGTTGGGGGTTAGGGTTGGGGGTTAGGGTTGGGGGTTGGGGGTTGGGGTTGGGGGTTAGGGTTGGGGGTTAGGGTTGGGGGTTAGGGTTGGGGGTTAGGGTTGGGGGTTGGGGTTGGGGGTTAGGGTTGGGGGTTGGGGTTGGGGGGGGGCAGGGGTGTACCAGGCTGGGTGGATGGCAGCGAGGGTTGCCAAGCCGAGAAGGATGGCAGTAAGTATTTACTGGTCGTTCAGGGATTAATTTTCTGCAGTTACCTAGCTTCCTGGAGACTAATGAAAGCATTAGGACTTTTTTCTTGGGGGAAAATTCCCACTTTAATTCCCATTCATTACTTTCTAAAACTTTTATCAGGCGTGATGTGTACGGAGTTGTTTTGTTGAAATTGCTTTCCCTCGTGGAGCTAATGACTCAACATTGGTCCTTCCTGGGCCTGCACGCCGTCCGAAATATACTTTTTCGGTGTTATCTGTCAACTTGTCCGTTCTCCTGTCACGCGCTCCTGTCCGTCTATACGCGTCCCTGGCCGTCCGTCCCGTCCGTCCAGAAACCGGTTCTACCGTCCGTCCGTCCAGGGGGAGCAGAAAAAAAGGCCACGGGAGAGGCTAGGATGGAAGCTGGAGACTATATGGGGTAGCACAGAGAATTATACGGAGGGAAGAGGTGGGGGTAGGAGAAGAAGAGTAATAAGGATAAGATTGATTGATTGATGAAGTTTAAACCACCCAAAAGGTGGCACGGGCATGAATAGCCCGTAAGTGGTGGCCCTTTTGAGCCATTTCCAGTATCAAAAGCTGATACTGGAGATCTGTGGAGGTGCGACTGCACCCTGCGTGACGGGAGATGTCTCCCGTGAATAAGGATAAGGAACAATGATGTACATGCTGAAATCCTGCTCTTTAAACGACCCAATTCGACCCAATTCAACTCTATTCGTCTCAGCGTGATCATAAATCCTTACGCAACACGGACAATACTTGAATAATCTCATCTTAACGAAGCCGAAACGTCGTCGTTTCTCCGTTTTCTAATGTGTGGTTTGGTCATCATAATTACCTTCCAACAGCCCTCATGGCTGAAATGTGTGTTCGAGTCTCCCAGTATTCTCAAACTCGGGTTCAAATAAGCCGAGCTCTGAACACTCGTATACTTCACATATCAGTATACTTCGCCTTGAATGGGCAGAGGTTTACATATATACTCGGTCTGGGGAATATCGGTGTCTCTGACGTCACACAGGTAAACATCAGAGGTCTCTGACGTCGCACAGGTAAACATCAGAGGTCTCTGACGTCACACAGGTAAACATCAGAGGTCTCTGACGTCACACAGGTAAACATAAGACGTCTCTGATGTCGCACAGGTAAACATCAGAGGTCTCTGACGTCACACAGGTAAACATCAGAGGTCTCTGACGTCGCACAGGTAAACATCAGAGGTCTCTGACGTCACAAAGTAAACATCAGAGGTCTCTGACGTCACAAAGTAAACATCAGAGGTCTCTGACGTCACAAAGTAAACATCAGAGGTCTCTGACGTCATTTAGGCCTCTCCCAGTGCTTTAAACTCGCTCTTGAGCAACACAACAGATTCATGACGTCACTCAAAGCTTTTTCAAAGTTTCCTTCTCCGTTCTCACGCTCCCTCCTGCCGTTTTCTACTTTTCTACCGGCGTCCTGATATCCTGCCGTTTTCTACCGGCGTCCTGATATCTTGCCGTTTTCTACCGGCGTCCTGATATCCTGCCGTTTTCTACCGGCGTCCTGATATCCTGCCGTTTTCTACCGGCGTCCTGATATCTTGCCGTTTTCTACCGGCGTCCTGATATCCTGCCGTTTTCTACCGGCGTCTTGACATCCTGCCGTTTTCTACCGGCGTCCTGATATCCTGCCGTTTTCTACCGGCGTCCTGATATCCTGCCGTTTTTTACCGGCGTCCTGATATCCTGCCGTTTTCTACCGGCGTCCTGATATCCTGCCGTTTTTTCCCCTGACAGTTTACCTTCCTTTCCCCCCCCCTCATGAGAGTATTCCTGTGATACAGCATTGGTGTATACGTCTGCTATCCTGAACACGTGTACACGTAAGCTTGTGTACACGTGTATGAACGAATAGACCTGTGTGTGTGTGTGTGTATATGTCACGTCATGAAGCACATATGATCACTACCAGCATATCGGGAGGTAAGGGGGGGGGGGGGCGGGGGTTGCAAGATAGCTGTTCACTCCAGGGGTACAGGGGGTTGGAAGGAGTGAATGGGGAGGGGGGGGGAATGGAATCTCTTCCCAGGGAGGATAACCTCAGGACATGAGGGAGAGAGGGGAGTGTGGGGGAAGGGGGGGGGGAGGGGGAAGGGGGGTTGCTTACGCTCAACGAGGTGTAAAACCTCTCCCGCTGATGCTGCTGCTCACCCGGGGGTTACACAGCTATCACCCTGGAAAATTGAGATGCATATTGTACCTTCAGATTCATGCGGGGGTTCTGCGGGGAATTGAGTGCGCGTGCGTGCTGTGCGTGGGTGTGCGTGTGTATGTCTGTGTCTCACATTGCAAGACGGGCTTAGTCTTTACACACACACACACACACACACACACACAAGCCGTGAGATAAGATTACTTTTATCCACACAGAACAATAAGAGAGGTACAAACCTCTAGAGGACGTTTGTACAACATGAGGAGGAAGCGGAGAAGGAGGAAGAAGAGGAGGAGGAGGAGAATAAGATGAAGAGGCACAGCTCAACAAAACAACAAACCCAGGAAGTAGATCAGAGTACAAAAGAGCGAATGTAAAAACTGACGATTAAATCCTTTTGGAAATAAATTGGATGGTGTCAGAAGTTAATAGGGGCTAAGAAATAGGCTGTCAAGAAAGGTCAAATCTAATTACTTTAGGGTGACGAACTACACTGCCGCCATGTTGTGACGTTATGTAACTACCGAAACTATTGGCTATAACACAAGCAATAAAGAACACATACGAGTATCGTCTAAGTGTCGTTAATTCTAATTATTTTATCGTTACATATAACTGGATATACACCGAATGTTTTCCCGCGCTAAAATGCTTCCGTTCATATCTGGTATAATCAAGCCAAATTGTTTTTCACCAAATTATGACGAAATTAGCTTTTGTCGGTAATTAGTTAAATTTTACACAACAAAATTATTTTAAATTAAATGTTGTTCTCTAAGAAGACTACAATATTGTTCCATTAGTAGACAATAATGTAGTCCCATTATTAGACTACAATGCTGCTGTTACTGTTGTTCCCCGAGGAGAGTACCATGTACTTCCTGCTGACTAGTCTTGAGTAACGATAATAACGTAACAGTGCACAAGAGGCACTGCTCAGACGGGGCATAAAAATATTTGCAGTTCTTCGAGAGGAATGTTGCCGGCACCCAGGGGGCCAGATTCACGAAGCAGTTACGCAAGCACTTACGAACGTGTACATATTTTCTCGATCTTTAGCGGCTTTGTTTACAATTATTAAACAGTTAATGAGCTTCGAAGCACTAGGAGGCTGTTTATAACAATAACAACAGTTGACCGGCAAGTTTTCATGCTCGTAAACTGTTTAATAAACGTAACCAAAGGAGTCAAAGATTGAGGAAAGATGTACAGGTTCGTAAGTACTTGCGTAAGTGTTTCGTGAATCTTGCGTAAGTGTTTCGCTCCAGAACACTCTTGGAAGCCCTCAACCCACTCACACTTCCTCTTCCAGGCTTCAAAAGTTTTGTTCTCACTCATTGTGATTCTTAATCCATTCAAGTGAAGCTCACGGAACTACTAATAATACAAATCAATGTTATTATTGATATTATAAAATTGAAAGGAAATGAATAATTGCGTTTGCGTAGAGCGTTGTATAGTGCGTATACAACAGCCATTGACGCAGGTGTCTGTGTGTCCAGGACTCTTATATGGTTGAACACAACTCATTGCTATAGTGTTAAAGGACAATACGTATTACATAAGAACACCGGAACACATTACACACTGTAAACAGCTTGTCCACACACAACCTGTTTAAATTCTCCAATTTACACCAGTGGCGCTTCGTGGGCACTTTGGTTCACTCATTTGCAATTCTGTTACCAAACCTCACCTCTATATCTCACTTTGTTATCATTGTTACGAGTTATATTTAATTTGATCTTTTTAAAGGTCTCCATGCAGGATAGCGTTCAATCCCCGACCGTCCAAGTGGTTGGGCATCATTTCTTCCCTCCCGTCCGATCCCAAAATCCTTATCTGACCCCCTTCCCAGTGCTATATAGTCTAAATGGCTTGACGCTTTCTCTTGATAGTTCCCTTCTATATATCTCTTATTAACACCTGTAAGCAGTGTTCACTGCAGTTAGTTCCTCGTGGCGGGGATTAATTTTGTCATCCATCACTGCTTGTTCTCCAGAGAACTGAACCAGTCTGTGCAATGTTGATAATACTGCAAGGTATTCATTGCATGTGAATTTAACTAGTAATTAAATAGTAGTAATAGTAAACCATTCCTAGTAAGGTCTCACTAGTGAAGAACTATTGGTCTGAAGATAGTAGTGCCAGACTACACGTCATAAGTACATTTGGTTCATATTCAGATATTAAAAAATAAAATAATAAAATAAATAGATGTATTAATACATTGCTGCGCTCAAAACCATTGCTGTGGTTTGGTTAGATGTGGGCTTAATTACCAATCACTGGAGGGTTGTTAAGGCTTCAGCAAATGCTTACTGACCAACCAGCGAGATTACAGGATTGCAGGATTACTACTGGACAGGATTACTACTGGACAGGATTACCACTGGATAGGATTACTAATATCCCAATAAACAAACATATACTTATCGTAAGGAAATATTAATAAAATAAAATAAATAAAAAAGGGAGGCTATGAATTATATAAGAAGACAAATTAGGAGGAGAAAGAGAGAAGAAAAGCCTAAGAAAATATAAACGAGGCACTTGACCAATACAATGCAATTCCATTTTTGCTTCAGGGTTGAGGAGGGTGATCCGGGGTCTCTAATGATGCCTTAGTTACGCCTCACCTCACCGATTGGCAGAGAATTTTCCCCTGGGTTGATTCACGAGCAGTGTTGCGTAAGGCGGTGTTGCATGGGGGGGGGGGGGCGGTGTTGCATGGGTGGGTGGGTGTTGCATGGAGTTGTGGTGGTGCATGCGACGAGGAAACACTACTCCCCCCCCCCTCAGCGGGTACACTACCCCCCCCCCCCCAAGCAGGTAGCAGTGTATCTGCCTCACACCAGCAGGCAGGTTTCCGCCTCTCAACTCTCCCAGACACCCCCTTCACCCTCTGCTAGCAGCAGCAGCAGACCTGCTCGCCCCATCCTTCACGTATAAACCTCCCCCTTGAGCGCCTCCTTCCAGGTCATAACCGCTCCCTTGGGTCCCATCATTATGTATTCACCACCCTTCATTACCGCAGATACATGGCTCCCCTTCTCCCCAAGCTCCCTCCCCTTCTCCCCCAGGCTCCCTCTCCTCCCCACGTACCACCTTTCTCCCCAAACTCCCTCCCCATCTCCCCAAACTCCTCTAAACCCCCGGCACGGATCGTTTGACACCTCTGTGATGTATTACTGTGATGTATTACTATTACCGGGATCTGTGTCAGTCTCGCCTGTGCTGGGTGTGGCTGGGTGTGTGCTGGGTGTTCCCGGTACTGTGTATGACCAAATATAAGATATTTAATGCGACAAAACTTGTAAACTATGCGGCTGTTCTATCAATCTAAACAAATAAATTCAGTAGAATTGTTTTTTTCCACCTTTGCTCAGAGCGAAATCATGAAATGAGTAGTTTAGTTAAACTAGTTCATGAATATATTGTAAACACAGAGCTAAGACGCTTCACTGAGCCATAGGAACACTTCAAGTAAATTAGGCTCTTATAGTCTCTCTCCGGAAATTTCAATGGATATTTATATGTAAGTGTTTTTTTCGCTTTCCAACAGAGTTTTGGGCGAGACCTTCCCCCATAACGGAACACCTCGGCCAAGACGCGCCCCACAACGGAACACCTCGGCCAAGACGCGCCCCACAACGGAACACCTCGGCCAGGACGCGCCCCACAACGGAACACCTCGGCCAAGACGCGCCCCACAACGGAACACCTCGGCCAGGATGCACCCCTCAACGGAACACCTCGGCCAGGACGCGCCCCACAACGGAACACCTCGGCCAGGACGCGCCCCACAACGGAACACCTCGGCCAAGACGCGCCCCACAACGGAACACCTCGGCCAAGACGCGCCCCACAACGGAACACCTCGGCCAAGACGCGCCCCACAACGGAACACCTCGGCCAAGACGCGCCCCACAACGGAACACCTCGGCCAGGACGCACCCCTCAACGGAACACCTCGGCCAAGACGCGCCCCACAACGGAACACCTCGGCCAAGACGCGCCCCACAACGGAACACCTCGGCCAGGACGCACCCCTCAACGGAACACCTCGGCCAGGACGCGCCCCACAACGGAACACCTCGGCGAAGAAGCGCCCCACATGTAAACAATCCCAGGGCGAGCCAGCCAGGGCCTCATTACCAGGGAAGATGTGTTCGTGTGTAATGTTCTGGGACTAACTTTACGCATCCCGGGAGTGGCAGTATATACACAATGTTAAGCAAAGTGGTTTAAAACGAGAATATGAGCGCCAGTTAGGAAGTGAGAATTAGTCTGGAGCTGCTCGGACACCCTGGAACTGTGGAGGGGGCGGGGCGGGGCATTCTATAGGCCTTATTTTGAGGTTATTTTGAGATGATTTCGGGGCTTAGCTTCCCCGCGGCCCGGTCCTCGACCAGGCATCTTTTCTGAAACACATCCCCAGGAAGCAGCCCGTAGCAGCTGTCTAAACTCCCAGGTGGGGGGAGTTAGACAGCTAGACCTATTTACTCCTAGGTAACAGTATAAAAAAACTATTATTTTATCTGTTATTTTCGTTAGCTGATAGCTGAGTGGACTGCACTTCGGATTCGTAGTCCTGAGGTTCCGGATTCGATCAACGGTGGAGGCGGAAACAAATGGGCAGAATTTCTTTCATCCTGATGCCCCTGTTACCTAGTAGTGAATAGGTACCTGGGAGTTAGACGGCTATTACGGGCTGCTTCCTGGGGGTGTGTAACAAAAAGGAGGCCTGATCGAGGACCGGGCCGCGGGGTCGCTAAGCCCCGAAATTATCCCAAGATAGAAGAAGGGTAGGTTAAATGACGTGAAAGAGGTACATGCTTTTCTCAGGTTTCAAGACGCTTACTCCTTGCTAGCACTGGGCTGATCACTCTTAGTTCCTCCTACTGAACTAATTAGGTGTCCAGCAGACTCGAGAGACCATCAGTGTAACTTCCCCAAACACACCCACAAACGCTTTTCACTGAAACTCTCACGACGAAGACAATGGATTACTGCATCTACCTGAAGCTTCCCCACAGCAGGTGCTTCTCCGGCTTATTACCTCTCATTTATGACCACTCCAACACAGGTTCCCGTGGCGGCACCTGCACGGGTTAATTGCTGATAACTCCGTTACAATATTTACCTTAACCATTGCGTAAATGTACAAGTAGATTATCACGCGAGGGCGCTCACCTGTGTTCATTTATAAAAGTGTTATTTGAAACCGTATTTGTTTTTAATAAAAATACTCAATGACCGGGTTGATGAGAAAATACTGAGAGACTTTCAAGACAATCAACTCACTGTAACAGGAATATACAGGCGATGAGTCACAACGTGGCTAAAGTATGTTGACCAGACCACACACTAGAAGGTGAAGGGACGACGACGTTTCGGTCCGTCCTGGACCATTCTCAAGTCGATTGTCTGATAATCGACTTGTGACAATCGACTTGAGAATGGTCCAGGACGGACCGAAACGTCGTCGTCCCTTCACCTTCTAGTGCGTGGTCTGATCAACAGGAATATATATATCCGTTGTCGTATTTGCTGGATATTAACGGGTGTACCTCGTTAATTCACCGTTCTGATCAGACTTATGGTCCCGGATTGGATTGGCGCGTCCACGGACCCTCCAGTATCAGCTATTGGTACAGATAATGACTCCAAAGCGCCTCCACTTACGGGGGCTCACCATAGCCCGTGCTAATTGGAACTTTTTGTTCCCAGTAGCTGAATCTGAAACAACATCCAAAACATGCTGGATATCCCTCACTGAGAAAGATGACGCGGTAGAGAGACCCGCCAGACACTACCACACAAACAACAGTTAAGTCTACGATCGCAGTGTTGAGCACATGTTCAAGGTGTCAAAATTACATTACTATTATTATGGTGGTTGTAACATAACGTAACCTAATGCAGGATGACTCGCTCCGCCTCAATACTTCGACTTTATTAAATCGTATAAATAAAATACGACCCTCATCATACGTATGACAAAAACAATGATCTCGTATAAAAATTCATCTTGTGAATACCTTCGAGTTGGTCAATAAGCTGTTATTATTGTGGCTTTTTTTCAACCCTTCCCCCAAAGATTGATCAGACTTGAAGCCCAGCCCAACACCAAGCCAGATACCATCCTGGCCACATATACAGTTACAAGAGTCGTGTGGCTGATTAAACCAACAGTATGGTTTAACAGCCTCACATAAAACACCACAATATCGAAATATCTATAAGCATTAATCTTAAGAATATGCATCAGTATTAGTATCGTTGGTCTTATAATTTCCATTATTTTTTTCTAATATGTGAAGATAACATTTGCAAACAATAAAAGAATGATTACCTTGTGATAGTTCCGAGGCTCAACGTCCCCGCGGCCCGGTTTCTGATCAGGCCTCCTAGTTAGTGGTTTGATCAACCAGATTGTTGGACACGGCTGCTCGCAGCCTGACGTTTGAATCAAGATAAACACAAATATGTAATTTGATGGTTCTATTACATTCCATTTCCCGGTACCACTGCCCTCTGATGCATGGAAATTGACGCTATTTATCCGAAGCGTCCAATTAGTCTGGGCGGTGATTAGCAGCACGTGTGTGTGTGTGTGTGTGTGTGTGTGTGTGTGTGTGTGTGTGTGTTGCATCGATCCTCTGCTACAGGGCTTACACGATCTCGTTCAAGGAAGGCGAGTTTTTATCAGTGACGTTCCATATGCACTCCGTTTGGCGCCCCTGTGAGTATTTTTCGCAACTAGAAAGGGGGAAGTGGGGTAGTAGGTGAGGGAATAGGGGGTTGAGGGGGCGTAAGGGGGAGGGGGTAATGGGAACTCTTGGAGTCTTGTTGGGGGAAGGGGCAGCCCCTCTGGTCTTTGAGTGTGTGTTCCGCAGAAATATAATTAATAATTCTCTTTAAACGTGTTGATGGGGAATGTATCCATTGGTAAATGACTTCACGAGGACAGGACTACGATGTCCTGCCTACCTACCTCACACTCACAGGAAGGAGGGGGGGTGAAGGTTGACCTTGAGGGGAGCGTGGAGCCTCCCCGTGACCCGTGATCCACTCACACACCTGTAGAGACTGTCTTTCATGAAGGAATTGCAATTCCAGAAATATAATTGAGGCAATCTTCTCCATAATAAGATTATGACAGACAGTTGTAATCTTTTGGGGAGGAAGACGATCTCTTGAGATACAAACTTGACTCTCAGCGTTCGTCTTAAGATGCAACCTTGTCTCTCATTGGTCGCCCTAAGATGCAACCATGACAATAATTGGTCATCCTTCAAATACAATTGGGACCCTGCACTTCCTTGTAGCTTTACATTATTTGACATTTCCGGCATCGTCTCTTGAAATTGACACGATGTGGGATAAGACTGAAGTAATTGTTGTTTTAGATCCAGTTACTGAGATCAAAAAGTTCCAAGTAGCACGGGATATGGTGAACCCGTAGTGGACTTACCAGTCACAGGAGCGGGGCTGTAACTCTAATTAGACTGAAGGTAAAGGAGGTCGTACTAACGCCCTCTTCTCAATGTAAACAGGTTCTCATACTTGGCTCCACTGAGAATTCTTGAGGGATAGAAGATCCTTCAGTGAATGGACTGCAAATGTTTTTACATTCAGTTTTAACTCTGCGGAAGGAAATGGCTCCTCAGGATACAAGTTAGTCTAGGGAAAGTTAGGCACTTTAAAATGGTAAGTGGTAGAGTGGGCGGCAGGGGGAACAGTCTTTAGTTTTGTCTCCACAAATTTTCTGGGATTGCTTTCAAGACACTGGGCATCTCGAACGGGACACCTACAGGACTTGTCGTACTGTGTTGAGAGTGACGCAGTAGCGGCATCACACTGTACAGGTTTATCGTGAAGTTCAGAGACTTGTCATCCTCCGACGCATGAAATCATGACGCATGACGCATGAAATAATGAAATCTCATTACCTTGATGCACCAACCATAAAATCAGTAGGAGCCGTGAGGTGGATTCGAACATATGAGAACTCCGAGGATTCACAGTCGAATCCCAGGTTGCCGCGTTTTTGACCATGTTGTGGGGTAGTGGGGGTATATGGCGTTTGCTTGGGAGTACCCAGAGCATAGGTTCGAATCCTGTTCAATTTGGCTCTTGATTTTCTCAATATTAATAATAATAATAATAATAAAAAAACGTTGTAGACGATCGAGTAAGATGATAGGCAGGATACGAAGGAGGGGAGGGATAGAAGGGAGGGAGGGATAAGAGGGAGGGAGGGAGGGATAGGAGGGAGGGAGGGAGGGAGGGATAAGAGGGAGGGAGGGAGGGATAGGAGGGAGGAAGGGAGGGAGGGATAGGAGGGAAGGAGGGAGGGATAGGAGGCAGAGAGAGAAGGAGGGAGGGATAGGAGGTAGAGAGAGAAGGAGGGAGGGATAGGAGGGATAGGAGGGAGGGAGGGATATGAGGGAGGAAGGGATGGGAGGGATAGGAGGGAGGAGGGATAGGAGGGATAGGATGGGGCCTCAATAACACTGCCTCGCCCGTTCAGTACCTCCCTCCCTCCCTCCCTCCCTCTCGTATAATGCCTCTTTCTACCTAGCAGCAGTTTGTCTAAGATTAGACAGGTAACATTAACGTCCTTTAAGTGTATGTCAGCCTGTCGTTTGTTCTCTGAAGGAAGATTACAACGGGTCGAGTGATTTTCTCGTAATCAAAGAGCAACAAAACGTCAAGGAGAAACTTTTGTTGCATAATACCCAGCCTTTTTCGCTATACATCGAGGTTTATACCTCTCGTCTGTCCATTTGAATGTTGTAAGTTAGTTTCCCTGTCATATTAAATTTGTCTGTCACTCTGAATTACCTCTATTTATATGTTTATCCCAATATCTCTCATCACTGTCCGCTCACGGAATCCTTTACTCTCCCTTTCTCTCCCTAAATCTCTCACTCTCCCCCCTCTCATTTCCAATTTTAAAAGAACATTAAAGTTGTCAGTGAAAGTTATGAGAGGGAGGGTGATAGGAGACCGAGCCTCGGCCAGGAGGTCACCCGTCACTGTCACACTGTGATCACGGCACTCTAACCACCAACACCACCATCACCACCACCATTTCCATCATCATCACAATTTCCTCCACCACCCCCATCATCATGATCACATATATACAATCAAAAGGGGACCTTTGTCATTGTATCCGTCATTGTATATTGGTACTTTTGTCGCTCTGCCTGTTACTTGAGGCAGCATGGTGATGGGACACCTGCCCACAAGGGTCCACTAGACACCTGCCCACAGGGGGTCCACTAGACACCTGCCCACAGGGGTCCACTAGACACCTGCCCACAGGGGGTCCACTAGACACCTGCCCACAGGGGTCCACTAGACACCTGCCCACAGGGGTCCACTAGACACCTGCCCACAGGGGGTCCACTAGACACCTGCCCACAGGGGTCCACTAGACACCTGCCCACAGGGGGTCCACTAGACACCTGCCCACAGGGGGTCCACTAGACACCTGTCCACAGGGGTCCACTAGACACCTGCCCACAGGGGGTCCACTAGACACCTGCCCACAGGGGTCCACTAGACACCTGCCCACAGGGGTCCACTAGACACCTGCCCACAGGGGTCCACTAGACTCCACGGTGGTGTCAGACGGTGTCAGAGGGACCCCTGGGCAGGATTACGAAACATTCAGTAAGATTGGCTCGCTTAGCGAGGAACAATGGAGGAAGAGTCAGGGATAATCACCCATTATATATAACAATCTAGTCTATCTCAATCTCCGGAAGGTCGATGAACTCAATGATTTTTTTTTTTACTTGAAGTTCGCTTGCATTCCACGATACGAAGTAATTACATTTTTATTCATTACAAAATAGTTACTATGCACTGTAATCTTGTCCCAAAATCAGCAAGCCTTTCTAATATAGTTATTGATATATTTATATCAATATTTTATATCAATATTTTATATCAATATTTATATCAATATATTTATTTATTTATTGGGCCTTTCCTTCACATTCACAGTTGTTATTGTAACTAACACATGCTATTATGTTAATAAATGCTGCTTTTTAACATATTCCGGGAGTTAGGCTTTCTAGGAGATTCCAACAGGGAGGCTTTTTTTTAACACTTTCAGACAGGGAGGGTTTCTAACATTTTCAGACAGAGGCTTCCTAAACACGTTCAGACAGGGAGGCTTCCTAACACTTTCAGACAGGGAGGCTTCCTAACACGTTCAGACAGGAAGGGGGGGGCTTTATAACATTTTATCTCAACAATAGAGGCCTCATAAAAAAGAGTTTCAAATGGAAAGTTCCCCAAAACATTGATCCTGGAAAAAATTGTGGCAATTATTAGAGCAATCGGCGTCCTTCCGGGTTCACGTTAAGCTTAATTTTCACCAGCCGACATCTTCAACGGCGAATTAAGATTACTTTACCAAACAAGCTAATATGCCAAGAAGACCTTCAGATCACCACTAGAAAAACTTAAGACAATCATTAGTAAGAGTAAGAGCAGAGGTCATTGTATGTCAGATACAATCATAAGGCTGGAGGATTGTTTATATGCTCCACTGACGTTGGCAATTCAGTCTTAATTCATTAAGAATAAGCTATCTTTTGTAGTGAGGAGAGGTAAGCGGTTTGATATGCCATTCCCTGTACGATATGTAACTTATAAACAGCTTTGAGCTAAGCTGTTTTTCTAGCTTTGAGCTAACTATTTTCATTATCACTTGAAAAAGCCTACACAAATTATAACAAGCCAACTATTGAAGAACATTTCCCTGTAGCAACACATCAAATAGCGGTCAACAATTACATTAATTTGGGTTATTTAACGTGCTAAATATGTTACATTCATTGGACTAAAACCCCTAATTCAATTATTTACATTTATTAAATATTTAATTCCTCGATAAATAATGTACCCTCACCAGCCTCGGATGCCGTTCCTGGCTAAGACCCAGCCCGCAACACCTGCTCCGGGGCTCCAGGGAGCGCTGCCTGGTCACTTGTCACCACGGAGCAGTGAAGTGACACAGGAAGTGACACAGGAAGCTCGAGCGAGACGAGGAACGCAATTTCACGAGACGTTCTTTGAGAAAGAAGATTGTCCCAGGGGGGAAAAGGGGAGAGCCAAGAGCTTCGTTAATCAACCCAAGACGGACGATAACAGTGTCCACAGCTACCTCAGGAGCCGCTGACGCAGGCACGAAGGAGCTGAAGGATTACAGTTTGTCAAAGAGAGTTTAAGATGGGTAGGACAGGCTCCTTAGGGTTGCAACTTGATGCTCCACCAGATTAAGGTCAGTAAAGGCACAGGTAACTGTAAACGCTTTAGAGGGCGCTTACGAAGGCAGCAACTAGAATAGGGAACAAGCAGCGCTCCGCTTGGAATGGCAATCAAGGGAGTGTGGTTGCGAGGTGGGTTTCAGAAGCGAGAAAGGGAGAACAGAATGAGGGAGAGATGATGAAGAGAAAGGTAGAGAAGGGAGGAGAGAGAGGAGAGAAGAGAAGGGAGGAGAGGTAGAGACAGTCAAGGAATTAGAAGAGACAGTCATAGAGGGGTAGTGACTTAACAGAAGACCAACTTGTTCACAAGCGTATCAGAATGGACAGGAAGGCTGTCTAACACGTTCATTGTGTTCCATGTACGTCTGTATATTCCAACTTGACAGTAAAGATGAAGGCTGCATCCCCACCCTCCGGCTTATGCTGCCGGCTGGACAAATGTTATAACACCATCCCGTGGCGACAAAGAATACGGAGGCAGTTGCCTCTTTCACACACGCCACAGCTGCCTCACACAAACACACACGTCACAGCTGCCTCTCTCACACACGTCACAGCTGCCTCTCTCACACACGTCACAGCTGCCTCTCTCACACACGTCACAGCTGCCTCACACAAACACACACGTCACAGCTGCCTCTCTCACACACGTCACAGCTGCCTCTCTCACACACGTCACAGCTGCCTCACACGTCCCTAGCCCAGGACTCCCAGAGGGCATAGGAGCAGTAACAAAAGACTGCCAACGCTTTTTCCTCAACTCCATTTCCATGATTGCTAATAACTTCCCTCTCGTGTTTCAGATGGTGGGCGTGGTGGTGGGGGCGTGGTGCGTGTTGGCGTGGGCGGCGGGCGTGGTGGGCCAGCGTGCGGCGCCCTGCTACCAGTGTGAAGTGTACAGAGAGACCCACCCTCACTCTATCCCCCACACTGAGGTGAGTACACACTCATCCCTCCCCTACATTGCTCTCTGCAAGAAAAAATATTTGAAAATGTAAATATTTCAAGAAAATTCGGTTTGTTTACAACTCTGGCTCTTAGGTACAACATCCATGTGATCCGAGGCTTCTGAGCTGTGCATACCGTCCTATGACGCCTCATTCATCAGTTATTCCTGCCTGTCTCTTCCCATTAGTAAAATTTTTAATTATTCTGCGCGTCTTCTCATTACTATGATTGTACGTAAGTAGCACGCGTAGCTTCGTGCCATCACCTGCTGCAGGTACGACCCTTCGCTAGCCTCGTGGCATCACCTGCTGCAGGAACGACTTTTCGCTAGCCTCGTGCTACCACCTCCTATAGGAACGACCCTTCGCTAGCCTCATACGACATTCTGCTGACGTTTTTCTCAAGACTTCCTTATATTCGACGGCCGCCTAGTCAGAGAGCCGTCTCCTCAAATACCCAAGGGAAAATATTATCGTTGAAATATTTATTAAAAAAATAAAAGGGTGAAGTCATGTAGGAACTTTGGCAATCAATTATAATTTCTCTAATGACGTTCGATATTGGCTTTATTTCCTCTAATGGTGCAGAGTTCGGCTTAAATGAAGGCTGAGTTTTTACCATTATTCAAGCGTTGTCGGAGGCTCACGTACGTCTGCTGCGCCACTCATCATCATCATCCTGGGTTAGGAACTGAATTTACAGAAGAGAAATTGTTTCTAGATATCCGAGTTCCGTTTCTAACTACAAGTTGTGGTTAGCAAACAACGTCTGAGCCAGAAGCTAGTTCCCTGTGCATGTGTGTAAACACGAGCACACAAACGCACACACTACCACACGTGCGTGCGGGCGACCACACATGCCCTATACATGCACGCCACACACACAATTCTGTTAGGACCCACACAACTACCTACCACATACGCCTCATTCTGCAGCCTGTTCTCTTAATATGTCACTTCGTCACAAATCTAACCTTTTAGCCTGACCAGAAACGAGCTGATACCAAGTCAAGGTTTTAGATCTTAACTATGTGCACTCTGGTGTTATATAGGAGGTTCTCTCCTCAAAGCTCATTTCAAATGCAAAAACAAGTCACATTAACGTGACGTATAAATGAAACAATTCGGTTCTATGAGGATGATTCGAATATGCACTCAATGTTCCCCCAAGCACCATGAACAATCAATCAAGCCATTATCAATAGATAATTTCAAGCTATTATCATCAATCGATTAGGCTGTTATAAACAATCAAGCCAGATAAGTGTCAAATGACTCATGATAAGTGATATTTTCTTTCCGGAGATTCTCACAAGAATTCATTACGCAGCCTCGTCACACCTGCCATAGACCTATTTGCCAATGGGTTTTCTTTACTAATGTATATTGTTCATTAAGCTATAGTCATGGGGGTATACGAAGAACAAAATTACATCCTAGGATCGACTTTTTTGACCCCCTAGTATGTCCCAATATCTTGCCTACGTCAGACTGTCGAAATTACCAGCACTATTAGGTTCCTGTAGATTCCAAAACATGTCATTAGCTATTGGTTTTGCCTTATATATGATAGGAACAGAACTTAAATAATAAGGATTTAATAATATTTATAGAAAAAAGAAACGGCAAATCCCAAACACACACGCTAGGTAGAACTAGTGATAATTTTGTTGAAGTGTTTGTGAAATCAAAACATGGAATCGTGGTACAGTTACTGACAATGTTCCTCCCTCGTCGTCTGACTCAAGTCGAGTTCTCCAGTTTTGACTCAGGTTCAGTAGTGCGGAGAACCCTGATTCACAGGGAAGTATTAGTTTCCTCATTATTAGGTACTCATACCCTTTGAGGGTATGGGTACAATGCCCAAAGGGTACCCATACCCTTTGAGGATATGGGTGCCTCCCCAAAGCCTTACTCTATAACCAAGCTCCCCACCCACACTACCCCAGCATCCCACATCACTCCCCCCCCTTTCTCATTCCCCCTAACCCCCTCCCAGCGATCAACTCTCCCATCCCCCCAAATCGAGGAAGACACCCCAGTAATGTCTCTTAGAGCCACACGTTAATTTGATTTTTTTGTTGCTAACTTTGGCAATTTTGAGGATCTCTGGTAGATGCCTTCCTCTGGTCTCTCCTGGGGGCCGGCGGGCGATCAGGGGTACTTGGTTATCTAGCACCCACCCCTCTCCCCACCAGATAACCAAGACAAGTTATTGGTTATAACCAAGATAGGGGAGAGGTGGCCCCCCACCACACACACTCATCCACTTGCTCCTGATTGGTTATTTTGTTCCATGGGGATTTGATTAGATGTTCTGTCTGGCGTCGTATAGTCTTCGGATCGCATTTGTTGAGCTGGTTAGAGATTACCTGATTTGCAGGATTCAGGTTTTCTCAAGGTTCTCACCACAATTTATTGATTGCGTTGTTTAAGATCACTGCTCCTATCTTGAGGTTATCTTGAGATGATTTCCGGGCTGGTGTAAGTTTTTTTTTATTTATGATGTCTTCGTTTTCTAATTGCAAGTTTTTTGCTTAAATTGTTATAGTTCCCGGTACAAATCTTCACAGTTGTCGTTTTCAACGGGTTTAGATAACTCAATTGTATTTAACTGCGACAAACGACTCCCCACTGAGTCAAGCTTGCCTTACTGGGTCAAGCTGTTGCCATTGGCTTACGCTTAATTCATTTGTGGGATTTTTTAAGCAATTGTGAAATAAAAATATTCCTTTTAGTTTCAATATGTATTGTCAATAAAAAAACTTTGCTATATATCCCATGCTTTGACAAATGTCCAGACGCAAGTTTCTTTATATTCATTCCATACTGCTATAAAATTTCATAATTGGGAAAAATATCTTAATTGCACTTCACTAGACACGACAAAATTCATCATTATGTTAATTATTCCTCGTTACATAATTATAAAAACCCATTATTAGTGAGTGAGCAAATTATCTCAAGTAGTTCATTACTTTAATTCTCTCCTCGAGGTGGTTCATTACCTTAATCCCCCTCCCCCCTCAAAGTGGTTCATTACCTTAATACCCCCCCTCAAAGTGGTTCATTACCTTAATACTCCCCCTCAAAGTGGTTCATTACCTTAATACTCCCCCTCAAAGTGGTTCATTACCTTAATACTCCCCCTCAAAGTGGTTCATTACCTTAATACTCCCCCTCAAAGTGGTTCATTACCTTAATACTCCCCCTCAAAGTGGTTCATTACCTTAATACTCCCCCTCAAAGTGGTTCATTACCTTAATACTCCCCCTCAAAGCAACATTCTCAAACAAGTGGTGTCGAATTAAAATGCCGCGTGATGATAACTAATGGAGTTAAGAAGACCGTAAACCCCTTCCTCGGACATGTTGACTCGCCAGATGTGTACAGTCTCGTCTAAGAGTAGATTCACTTGGCTTTTAAGGTGTGAAGGATACCCAGGACAACTACAGTCTCCACCCCACCTGGGATAGAGGTGTCCAAGCCTCCACCCACAGGTGTCCAAGCCTCCACCCCCAGGTGTCCCAGCCTCCACCCCCAGGTGTCCCAGCCTCCACCCCCAGGTGTCCAAGCCTCCACCCACAGGTGTCCAAGCCTCCAACCCCAGGTGTCCCAGCCTCCACCCCCAGGTGTCCAAGCCTCCACCCCCAGGTGTCCAAGCCTCCTGCCCAAGGTTGCCAACACCCACCCACCCCTTACCACCAGGTTTCCAGGTACCAATAAACTCCAGAAACCTCAAGTTACGGGTGTGTGCACATGCTCTCCTCAACACAGGCAGGACAAGCGCCGGGCTGCTCAGAGCCCCCAATAATAATCTCGGGAGCCGTATTTCCTGGATTCTGGTTGGCCAGGTTGTGGAGCGGGGCGGCCAATCGTTGACCTTCATTAATTTTAACGTGGTTACCCCCCAAGACCCGAGCGTTTGTCTTCGGCGTTAGGCGGAAACGTCATTTGCCGCGGACAGAAAGTAATTTTGCATTCATATTCTTTTCTTCTGGGAACAAGAGCGCTCGAAAACATGAGGGTGCGCGCGTACGCCCACTGGGGCAATGCACTTACCAGTATGATACACCCGGACAATACACCCACAGGGGCAATATACACCCACCGGGGCAATACAGAAGCTCACGTGGTCAGTTCTGACAGGTCAGAGTGTTTAAAAACAAAACAAATTTAAAGTAATTAGTCCAGATAATGACCTTAATTACCCAAAGTTTTCGCGTTTTTCACTCGTTCATTTCTCGCGTCAGGCAAGTTTTAAACGACAGTTTTTCACACACAATGTCGCTAGAAATATACTTACACTAATTATATACATTTTTGGGTCCAAGGAAAGAAAATAAGCATTTTGTCCAGGAGAAAGAAAATGGGCATTTAGTCCGGGGAAAAGAAAATAGGCATTTTGTCTGAGGAATGAAAATTCCCATTTACGCCAAGACAAATTACTCCACTACGTCTCCCAAGTGTTTTTACGTGATTTTAGTCTTAATTTCGCCCTACAAGCCTTACATCATTTATCACGTCGCATTTTTAAGACGTCCCCCAAACCGTTGAAAATTTGACGTAATATTTAATTTTAAGTACCCTAACTTCTGACGATTTTTATACCTCTTCATGTTAGATGGGTTGTTTGGTTTCGTGAGCTTATGGATAGATAAAACAGTTGTATATTTTACGGAGTGGCAGGTCGAGAGAACGGCTGTATTCATACGGTTTAACATTGATTTATTAACTTGGGTTTAATAGTTGTCTTTCGGGCACTATTTCGTCTTAGTGATCAACGCTATTTATAACCTGTGGAAACACATGTTATCCACATTCCACATTATGTGGAATGTGGTTTTAACTCCGCCCAACTGACCAGACTTTTTTGTCTGGATCCTCAACGACCAGAGCTGACTGTTCCTCACTTCACTACTGCTCATTGTAGCCACAAACATCTTAAGACCTCATCATACTCTCCTGAACGTGAGCTACTCTGCACT